ATTAGCTGAGCAGAACATATAAAACATGTATATATGTAAATTGCTTACTGGTTTGTTGGTTTTTCGATAGCATATTTTTTTGGGGGTAGGAAAAATTTATGAACAGTTAGGGAAAATTATGGTGGGAATAAGGCGAGTTGTGAACTTTATCACAAAGAATGAATATAAATGGATTAAGGTAGAAAACTTTTATGTAAACAGCTAATTGGTATTTTAATTTTTAAGATTAAGAAAGATAATACATTCTTGATCTAATATAAATATAGAAAGCAAGAAAGTTAGCATGTAAAGAACTAATTAGTATTTAAATTAAATGATTGAATAGGATATTAGTGTTGAATATAAATATATGTAATATGGAAAGATAACATGTAAAAAACTAATCAGTATTTAAATTATATGTTTAAATGGGGTAAAGTTACATATTGGATCGCCTTAGGATTAGAGGTTCTAGTTAGCTTTTAAAAAGGAGTACAAATGAAAGCAAGATGTTTTCCTAGTTCATTACCCAATCGAAGGCACATTTTATCTAATTAAAATTATTTTCAAAAATATCTGTTTATTGTTTTTTGTATACCAAATTTAAGACAATATCCTTGGTATATATTTTTCCTTATTTATGAAACGATGCAAAATTTTAAACCCATATTAAGTGCTTTATATTGCACAACAAGTTTAAAAACTATGTCATTAACATTAACACCTAATATTTTCCAATTCGGTTTATTCTTAAGTTAAAACCGTTTCAAGTACAATTTTTGTGCCAAACATCTTCTCATAATTAACCGCAAGAATGCCAAAAAAAAGCTGGGTCAATAACCAACACATGTTAGTGGAAAAACTTCAAGAGAAACTTGAAGGGCAACTAACTTCAGGAAGATGAAATTCAAATACCCTTGTAGTTGGCATTTGAAATATTGGATGAAACCGGAAATCCATCGTAACTAAGCTAAAAATATTCGCACTTTTTCAATCGATACTTGATAATATTTTATTATAACCATTTTTTCGGCAAATCAAAGTTTAAAATATATCATAACTAAGTTAAAAAATAACTATTTTTAGTTCGGAAAGCTTTCCTATGTTAATTTTTATTACGGTAATAAATCTGCATACTCAATTTTTGACAATTTTAATGGTGTAACCCTTATAAAATTTTTAAAATTTTGAAAAAATTAAATTTTTGTCGGAGATAGCTAGATCGACTCGTCTATTGATGCTGATCAAGAATATATACTATTTATAGGCTCGGAAATGATTCCTTCACATAGTTACAAGCTTCTGACTAAAACTTTAATACTCTTTAAGGGTATAAAGTGTCAAGTTGGCAACCCATTTGGAGCAACAAATTAATGAGTTCACTTTTGGGTCTAGGAATGCTGCAAATAAAAAATAGACAAGCAACTTGCCACTTGAACCCGTGCTCTCATTAAGCCCCACACCGGTGCACATACACAATTACACGGCAGCTGCTTCTGAGATGAAAGCCGCCTTTGAGTGGCTGTTTGGCCTCGCTTTGGGAGAAGAAAAAAAAAACTCTCACTAGGCACTTAAAAATTAACACTTTTGACAGCCAAATGGACTTTCAAATACACAGAGCCTCACAAACTAAAAACTGAAAAATGGTAGGAAAAAAGAGCAGAGACATACTTCCCGCTCGAAACTCTGGGATTGGGATTGTAACGAGCCAAAGCGCAACAAAGTGTCAATGCGGCTCTGAGGCAAGTTTAACAAGATTGGCAGCAAAAGTCGACGGCTGCGCAGATGCGGAGATGGCCAGCAGGTCTCGAGATTTTCTCATAAGGTGCAAAATCTCTCGACATCATAAAGTGGTGGTACAAAAAAAAAAAGCGGAGACAACAGAAAACATGCACAGAGATGAGCGTCCATAAAAAGAAACATTTTCGAGTTGGTTTTCGGTGTTACATATATTTTCCTCGAAGCTCCTAATTAGCCAAAGCCGGTTCTTTACCTCTTTCTCGTCGGCCACAGCGTCCGTTTAATATTTTATTATTCTTGGGTCCAGCCCCCCTCTTGGTATAAGCGAAAAACAATGGAGCCGTAAAAATCTGTGGATAATAAATAAATTAACTCCTTAACGATGACAAGAAGCCAGCTCAGTCTCAGTCACAACGTCTCAATTAAGTTGTTCAAAGCTCATTGTTTTTAAATCTTTGGCTTAATTTTCTTATGGTTATGGCTGCTTTGTTTTAACTCTGTATTTTCCTTGCCGTTTTTCTGTATATCTCATCTCAAGTTGAAATTGCGGAAATTTGTAATGCCCAAATCGGTTTACTAACCCTGGGGAGCTTGAACAACAATATGAGTAGTAGTAGCTTGCCCTTGTAATCACATCTTAATTAACTAATTAGCTCATTTGCAAACAATTAAGCAAAGGCAGGGAAAGAGAAAACCCCAATCCTAAGAAATCTTTACTAAAACTTGTCGAGTCATTTGATTGCAGATTGCAGATTCGAGATTGGACAGCAGCTGCCGGAGATGAAAAATATTTATGGACAGTGAAAATTGCTAGGAAAGTGAGGCGAGCAAACAGAAAACAGTCCATTTAATGCATAACACAAATATTTGTACATTGAAGGAAAAGGAAGAATGGAAAATATTGCTACAAGAAAATGGAAATTTACAAATTACGAAAATGTACAAATAAATAACATTTTAGTTTTAATGAAAGTATTTTCTATACAGTGTTATGCTAAATTATTTTCGCATAAAATCTTCTGCTGAAGCCATTTTAAAGCCCATTAAAAAGGTAAAAATCACAACCGATGCTTGTTCCTAGATAGTTCCAGCTTCACCTGGTTTTTATTTGACACTGAAACCTATTCATCAACATTGGCCACTCATTTCCCACGTTTTGCCAAGGCAAAAAAAATAAAAGAAAAATAAAATCTAAAACAGTTTTATAACTGTACCGAACCAGAGGCATTCACTTTGGCCTGAGAACATTTCGAGCTGTCCACCTGCAGCAGAGAGACACTGGAAACTAAAAACTATGGTGGAAAGAAGATCTCTCTGTGGTTTTCACCCCCAAAAAATGTATGTATGGAGGCCGAAAAACCAAGAGATCTACGAGTACCTGCTGCAAGTGAAGCATTTCCAGACAATTGAGTTTTGGAATTGACAATTTTTCTCGATGGGCGATGGAAATTGGAACAATGCCATGAGCTGGCAATGCACCTGAAGCTGTAGTTGTAGCTGGCTTCTATTGCCTGGGCTCAGAGAAAATATTGTCTTTTCATAATTATAAAATAAAATAAAGAAGAGCACCAGCAGCTGCAGAAAAAAAACGAACAGAAACGGGGGAAAAAAAAATTAAATTTTCGGCGCCCCAAAAAAAACTGAAAACAAGTTCGTCGCCTGAGTCTTTCGTTTTTTGGTTGGATGAAGGAAGTTGCCCCTTTTTTTTGCCTCGATTTAACGCTTCGCAACTGACAAATGAGCAGCATATCCTGTTGATCCTGTTGGCAGGAAATAATTATAGCGCCTTGGCAAAAAGTAGCATTAATTGCTAAAATAATTAAAAACTCATAAATTAGCACATGCAACAGTAGGCCCAGAAGCAAAGTGCAAATTTAATTACGGCCTTCATTAATTAATTCATTAAGGCGGCCGAGGGCAGAGAGTGGGCCTCACTTTTGTATTCTTCTTTTCCGACTAACTAAATCAATCAACGCCAAATACAGGTGATCGGGCGACTCCCTAAGGACACTGGCCCGATGGAGTTGCAACCGGTTTGACGACACTCCTTTTTGGCGTCCTTAGAATACATTATGCAACACAACTGGTGTGTTGCAGAGTCCGCCGCCCCTTTGGCTTTCATAATTTATTGATTTTATATGGCGTCACATTTGTCTCTCCTCCGCATGCCGCCCGGCATCGCTGACAGTTTTTGCCACTGTCGGACATTTTGACAGTTGCAGGTTGTCATCGCGGAGATCTTCCCCGGGTTCTCCGGTTCCCCCGATCCCCAACCGATCGCCCACTGTCATATCCTCTGCCCCTGTCAGTTGTAATTGCAACTGACGCATTTGCCGAAAAAATAAGTATTCGCTTCGTTTTCTCATAAACTCAACTGTCACTTCGATTTCCCCCAAAGCTTGGCTGCAAGGTGCTCCTGCCTACGTTCAGCATAAAATATACTATATGTATGTTGTATCCAGTCAAATGTATGATTAAGTAATATCCCAGTGACGTAATTTTGATCCCCTTCAAAATGCAAAATATATTCGTGGCGGGAAATACGAGTTTCCAGCTGATAAGGCGTGCAAATTATATACTTAAATAAAAAAGGGGTGGATATCTTGAGGGATCTAAATGGTTTCCTTGAGATCAGCAGAACAGGCTAGGCCCTTTTAATTAAACTGTTCGCTTAAAAGATTAACATAATATGATAAATTTAATACAGGACCATTAAAAAGGCAAGTACATTATCATTTAAAGGCTATCCTTAACGGATATGTAATTATTTTATTTGGATGAAACCGAAAGAAATTAAAAAGAGAAGTCAGTTGTAGTCTTAGACAAATCCTTATACCTTTCTTTTAATTATTGATTCCATCTGCCACTATACTGCTTAACCCTTTTGTTGGATCCTCAAATAATGACTTTAATTAATACCTAAAAAAGTTGGAGACCCTTTCCTAACACACCTTTCTCCAATCGCCAAGGAAAGGCAGCTGCAAAAGTGCTAATGCCCCTCCCGAAAATTAAATTTAACAAAAACAATTAAAATGCAATTTCGTGCAAAAATCGTCGTTGCAGCTGCAACAAGTGGAACCACTTGCAGATGTCCGCTCATTAAGTTTATTAATTTCTGATATCAAGGCAGTAAAATTTTCATTTGCTTTGCATTTGTGTCGCCTGTCACATGCAACAGCAGTAACCAGCGGTGCCTCAACCGTGACCAATTTTCCCCGAAAATAAACATTTATATACACAGAGTAACCCCGAAAAAGAGGAACGTCTTCAACCCCTTGCAGTTAAACTACGAGCGTTAAATTTTATTTTATTTCCCCGCCATTCTGCCATTCGATTTCTACGCTTTCTACACTCACATCTTCTGCTGCGGCTTCTTCTGGTTGTTGTGTTCGTGAACAGGTGTAATGATTTTTGGTTTGCACCTTGACTTTCTGCTTCCGTTTCAGCTCGAGCGACGCATGTCGATAAGTTTTTTTGTTTTTTCGACTTGGGGTAATTTGTGTGAGCTTACTTCCTTCCGTACAGGGTGTCCTTTTGCAACTTATCCTGCTGCCTCATCAGCCACGCAATATTCACATTCTGCGCCTTAGATTGCTCTGACAAGACCCTCTATTTGTGCTTTTAATTATCTAAAAAATATTAATTAACTTACCCGATTCTTTGCGCCGCTTTAGTTCCTCAGACTCGGCCTGAAGGCGTTTTCCCAGAATAAAATGCAGAAGGGGCAGCACAATGATCAATTTGGGAAAGGTTTGCAAGTTAATTCTCATTTTACAGAACTTCTAAATACATTAAAACTAACAATAAATGGCTTACTGAGCTTAAAATATAATATAATATAATATAATATAATATAATATAATATAATATAATATTATATAATATAATATAATATAATATAATATAATATAATATAATATAATATAATATAATATAATATAATAATATTCTATTTGAATCCTATCCATAATCTAGTATGTAATATATACAAGTCTTAAGATATATTTCATGGATTATTTGTAGAAAAGCAATAGTTTCTTTTATTCTGTAATTATATAGCAAATTTATTAAACTATATTTTAATGATTATCTCTAGAGTATATGTATCGTTTAATATCTACCTTTCTTTTTCCAAAGTCACCCTGTTGGCTTTCATCCCTTTGCTTAATTGTTAACTCTTTGCTAAGGACTTTATTAGCCCAATCCTCGCGATGCAAATTTATTTAACAAACACTCTGAGAAAACTAGTGATAGGTGCCTATTAAAATAAAAGGAAATGTAATACAAATATAATAAAAGGAAATATTTTGAAGAACTAAATACTATAGTTGTAGTTCTAATAGTTATTATTCACTCTTAAGTTAGATATTTTAAAGTGAAATAAAAATTAACTGAATGAATATAAGCAGATTAAGAAATATTTGTAAGTAAGAATATTTCCTTTAGGGACTTGTATTTGTTATATATATTTGTAGCTTTCTGCACTCTAACCTAACTATAAATATAATATGCTATATTATTTATAAATAATCATCAGAAAAGGAAGCTATTTTTTGGTAAGTATTTTAAGATCATTTTCAGTGTAAAGCCCCCGTTAAAAAATTGCATTTTGTAATACGACCACAGGAGGAGGGGACAACTTCCTCAATATCAATCATTGCGCTCGGGTTTATTACCAGCCCCGGAGCCCCATATCCATGGCAGGACTTTCTTCATATAGCATATTTAGTGTCCCCCGAAACAAAGTTTCCGTTTTATATTTACTTTTTTTCATTTTTCGGTTGTAATTTTTTTCGGGTAAGCTGCAATTTTCAGGTGTTGGCCAAAGAGAGCTTCCAGCAAGCAACTGACCATCGAAGCGAACTGAATTCGGCTCAACCCCTTCATTAAGGAGGAACAAAAATGATATATTTAATCCGTTCGTCGCGTCGCTCGTTGGGTCAGTGAAGCGTATGGCTGTCTCGTAGCCACGACGACAATGACAGCGAATGATAAACCCGATATGGAACACACTTAAGGGCTCAACTTGGGTAATCTGCAGCAGTTTGCTCAAGTAGAAACAGCAGCTTCAGCTTCAGCTTCGGCGACGAGAAGACGAGGCAGTCCAGCCACGCAACCAAAAATTATAACTGCAAAGGAGGAGGAGTGTAGTGTAGTGTGTGTATATATATCGCCGGAGATCTCAGATCGTTTCCAGTCTTGCAGGTGGATTTCTCAAGTGGCTGCGTCCGCTTTCCTGGCTCTCCTCCTCTCAGTCCCTTTGCCTTGCTCCATCTCCCCGGTGAAGAAACTCAAAACTTCTCGAGGGAAATAGATACATCTGTGGACGGAGGACTTTGCACTTGGTGTGCCAAGTGAAACAAGTGTGTCTTAGAATAAAGGGTTGCTTAGGATGCATTGCCAGATGTTGGTGTTTTAGATATACGAGTCTATGATTAGCCCTATAGAATATATACTGAATTATAAACCAAAAAATATAAATAAAACATTCATTTAAATCCTGCTTTCTTATATATATTTAAACACGAACATTCTAAAGAATAAAACATCATAACTTTTAATTTAATGCCTTAGGTTTTATCGTTATTAAATTTTGTATGTTCTAATACAAATATTTCAACATCTTAAATATATTTAATGTCTAGATTGATCAATTGATGATTAATGGAATTATTAAAGGTATATTTACAGAATCTGATCCACATTATAAAACATTACAAAGTTGAAACATGAAAAATACATTTTTGTATTCTTTATAAATACATTTAATTTCAAATTGCGCTTTAATTTATTGCACAATTTCACGGGAATTAAAGTATAAATCACTTACATCCCTTTAACATCAAAGTACAAACGTATTTCTTCATTAATTTAATTTCTATGCCAAATACTTGGATCTTTATCATTACTTCTTCGCTTTCCTCCATAAAACTGTCGCATATAAATCCCCAAAAAACGTAGTAAATGTCATTTCAGCATCACATATTACCGAATGGATCCAAAGAATCCTTGACAGTTGTCCCCAGCATTTATGCCTGCTTGCTTAAGATTTCTCCGAGAAAAATCGGAGGTCCTTAAGGAGTTTCCTCCATAGTACATCAATGCCATGGGGGAATTGGTGTCAAAAGTCGCACGGCAATCCATCAATTTAACAGCCATGGAAAATCATCACAATGCCAGGCCATTGTATGAAATGTGTCTGTCAAAGGAATGAAAAAAATAACTTCTGGCAGGACAAAAGGACACAGAAGTCGTCACAGTTCCTGGGGTGGAAGTAAGTAAATGCGAATAAGAATAAGAAGCAGAATGATTTCCTTTTGCCTTTGACTTCTTGGCTTGTTTTTGGGATGAAATGAATTGAAAAAGAAATGCCACAAAGGAAAATACATTTATGCGGAAATGCTCGGGCCAGGACTTGCCCCATGTATCGTTTTTGTGGCATGTTTGCGCAATGTTAACACAGCAGCTCGTCTTTAACTTTAAGCTGTTCAAACATTTAGGCCAAACAGCTGGCCCCAAGTGTCAATAGAGTTTTATAGTTATTATACTATTGCTAGGGTATTATCTTTTAGTCAGAACATTGTAATGCTATGAAGGAGTCTCTTTCGAACTTATAAATTGAATATATTCTTGATCAGCCTCTAGCCATTTGAATATGCAGAATTATTAAAGTATTAAAAAACGAGTTTAGGTCAGCTTTTTAGCTTCGAATTGGAAGTATAATGTAGACATGATTTGCCAAGAAATCCCTCGGTTATTAAAATCATCGAATAGAAGTTCTGATCCTTGGCATGCCACATTTATTTTCTTATACCCTCATCATCAAATTGTACTAAACCTTTACTCAAACATTCTTTAATTTCTTAAAAGATTAAACTTCTATTCCGAGACAGCTGTCCGCAGTGTCAACAAACTCTGGTTAAGTTTTTTAGTAGACCTCTGCGCCCCAACGCGTGCCATATGCCAGTCCTCGAAAATGTCAACTGCTGGTTTTTGTGTAATTAAAAACCTTCGATCGCCACACGCTGATCACTTATTTACATAGTCCACTCTCTCAACCTGCTGCTACTGACCAGATTTTGATGGGCTTCGCGACTCCAGACAAAACAAAGGATACGTAAATCAAAACCAGGGCAGCCGGTGATCATCGGGCTTCACTTCGCGTCCTTTTTTGTCGTACTTTGTTTAATTTTTTTTGTAATTTATCGTGTGTGGCATGAAAGGGCGACATCATGCCGCAAACATTCCAATCGTTAAATTTTGGCATTATTTTTTAAGCTCTCCCTTAAAAAGTTGTTTTGGCTCGCTCTTCTTTTGGATGTGTATAATTTTGTTTAATGTTGATTAAATATTAAGGTAGGAAGGTATATGTTATAAGTGTGATGGCCAGTTGTCGTGTCTCAATGCGTTTTGTTGGTTAATAATTATTCCGAAAAGAGGATGAACTGATATTAAAAAGGAAAGAAAGGAAAAGTGAAATTTAATTGCATTAAATTTGGTCTCTGTATTTGTATTATTTATGTAATATTCTCCTGGACACTTGCAATAAGTCTCCCTCAGCTTTAGATTGTGTCACCTTTTCAATCTTCTTTAGAAACCATTAGAAATCCAACCCGTCACAGCCTGAAATTCCGATTGGCCATAGACAATACTCATTATTAGCCAACCAGACATTGGCTTATTTGCATAAGAAAAACCCAGACACGAATACAAATCAGTCCTCTATCGATCTAGACGACTTCCATGGAAATGGCCAATGGCTGCTATAATGATTTGGACGCTTTTAAATTGTTGGGTGTTGGCTAAATCGCAGAATTGTTACAGAAATACCTTAGTAAGGGCACGATTGGAATGAGAAACCTCTTCAGCAACAGGCGGTTCGATCCTCAGAAATAGATACTGGCAAGGGATCTTGAGTGCTACCATTTTTAAGAGTTCTCTAGGCGAGAGCCTAGCAGCTGCCGGGTCAAGAACAAAACAGAAAATGTAAAAACACAAAAGTAAATCTCTCCTGCATGTTAAAAAAAAGAAGAGAAAAGGATCCATTTGGGTTAGTACAGCCTGTTGCATTTGGGATTCTGCTGATCCTGCAGTCCAATCCGTGTACCTGCTGCCCGACCCTCTGAGATTCGTTTCATTTGTTGCACATCCTTATAGGTAGGTACCTATCCGGAGTCGTCCCCTCGGCAAGCTGCTGCTCTTGCACATGTCCTCGATTCCCGTCGAGCGTAAAAAAATGGAATGGTGGCGAGCCGAATTCGATGACCCTGCAAGGTGTTCCAAAGATCCTGAACCTCTAGAAATGATTTTTGTTTTTCGCGGAATGCTGGCAGAAGGAAATTTCCAGCACATGGTGCCGTTTGCTAGAGGAAAACCTAGATGGAAAATCTGGGGTAACTAGAGTAGCTAATGCGGGTACAGTTTGGTAGAAAGTATGCCTTCAAGTGGGAGTAAGAAGCATCTACGGGATATTGGTTTCTAATATTTCCAAAGAATTAAGGAGGTCTTATACATATACATTGATATAAAATTACTAAGAATTATATTTACCAAAAAGAATACTCCATAATTTACCCCTTTTTTATTGTTTCTATTTAATAAATCTCCCATTTAAACACTGGTTGTCGTTGCCGCCCACCAACTGCTAATAAAGTTGTCATTTCTGCACGATTTAGCAGTTAGGCAAACATTTTCTACCAGCCAAGGAAATGGATGTGAAGGGGGAGAAACTCCAAACCTCAACTAACCCCCCATGAGACAACACGTAGAGTAAAATGGCCAACAATTACCGGCAACAGTAGTAGCTTGAGTCATT